CGGAGCCACTGCCACTCAGAGCCCGCCTTAGCAGACCATGCCACGCCCATAGCCCTGCATTCGCTCACACCTCCAGGACCAGCAATCTTGCCCCAGGTCCACAGGGAGTCAGTCCATTCTGTCTTTGAGTTTCTGTGCTGGCTGCAAGCTTCCTACACCATCATGCTTTACCGGTGGCTCCTGGCTTCCATCCCAAGATAGCTCCCGGCTTTGCTTCCTACTTTCTGCCCATGTCAGGCCCTGACCATTGGAGGAACCAGCCAATTGGGAGACAGTAGTCCAAGAGACTCCCAAAATTACAAAGGCTATTGCCACCATCCTTGATTGCCTCCCATAACTTGATGGTAAGACTCCCTATTGCTGAAGACAGGACATACTTTGGACACAGGATTTGGAGCAACAGAGCTGGAACTGGAAGCCACCTCCCCTTGAAGGCTAGCTCTCATAGCTTGGAGAGCACTGCACAAGCTGCTAAGGGAGAACATCAATCAGTGGTCCAACCCCAGCTTCAAGGCCTAAAAACCACATTGATGACCAGCATAGCAAACGACATTAGTGCAGTAGTGGCACTTTTATCTTGGGGGTAAGCAACAGCTACCTAATTGGACTTAAAGCCCACTCAATAGGAGGAAACTCATGTGTGGTACTGTAAACCTAGTCAAATACACATAGCTGGAGAGGTCATAGATCTTAGAGAAAACTCCAAGACTGTCGCATCCTAGACAAACGTAATTTCTTACTATGTTCAAAATATGGATCCTTAACTTTATAGACAAGTATCTCAGCCACCACCCATCAAAGAAGCTTCTTTTTCAAGAGACAGAAATAATTTCAGACTTCCACAACTGGTCACACACAGAGACTGTGAATTGCCCAAGCCTAAGTGGCATATCTAGGATGCAACCTCTCTACACCTAAGGCTCATGGAACATAGAACAAGGGATAAAGAGAACACTAATGCATCTTTCAGCTCTCATCAATGAAGCTCCCCCATGCAACAGAGGGCCAGGAATGTAAAAGGTCACAAATGGCCCAAACCCAGAGAATAAGAGTTCAGAGTGTGAGTCCTTGGATAAGACTCCTATATTAAAATTTACCCACCCAGGGCTCAGGGACCATTGTGGAAGAGGAGGTGGGAAGATTGTAAAAGATTCAGGGGAGGAGGTGCATGACCATACAGATATAGTACTACAGGCACCTGGGACTCTTCTCATATGAACCTACAGCAATGGTGTCAGTGTGCACAAGACCCATGAAAACTTAAGCAGACAAAAACCCAGCACAGAACTGTAAAAAGGAACAGCAGGCCACAATCTTAGGTGAGGAAGAGCTGATCTTAAAGGGAGGGACTCTAGATAGGCTGACTAGATCCCAGTTGCACTGAGGGACATCTGGATACACTAACTTGACGTGATAGGTCTTAACACAAATGACAGAATGTATGAACTCCAGTGGGGAGGTTATGGGAGGGTACCAAAGGGGAAGGGGGTATAAAGATGATTTTCTGTATGAAATACACAAAAATTCAATAAAAATTTTTAAAAATATGTATACATATACATAAGATGATATTTAGCTTGTATTTATTTGATATATAAAAAAGCAGGATTTTTTTTTCTAAAAAAAAAAAAAAAAGATGAGAACACCTCCCATGCTCCTGGATGGGAAGAATAATATCATGAAAATAGTCATTTTTCCAAAAGCAATCTACAGATTCAATGCAATTTCCATTAAAATACCAATGTCATCATTTGCAGACATAGAGAAAATAATCTTAACATTCATTTGGAAGCATAAAAAACCTTTGATAGTCAAAATCCTGAGCACAAAGAGTAATACTGAATACATCATCATATCTGATTTCAAGTTATACTACAGAGCCAGAGTGATAAAAGAGCATGGTACTGACACAAAAACAGACAGGCAGATCAAAGGAACAGAGGACCCAAATATAAACGCACACTGCTACAGACACTTGAGTTTTTAGAAAGATGCCAAAAAATATAATCATTGGTTAAAAGACACCCTCTTTAACAAATGGTGCTGGGAAAATTGAATATCCATGTGAAAAAAATAAAGTTAGATCCTCAACCCTCACCTGCACAAAAATCAATTCCAAATGGATCAAAGACTTTAATGTAAGGCCTTAAACTCTGAAACTGGTATAAGAATAAGTAGGGAAAATACTTCAAGATACAGGCATGGGTAAGGAATTTCTGAATGGAACTCAAGTAGCTCAGGAAATTAGGCCAAATATTAACAAATGGGACCTCATAAAATTAAATTACAGAAAAGGAAAGAGTTAACTAAGAGGCAACCTACAGAATGAGAGAGCATCCTTGCCAGTCATATCTGATGAGGATTAATATCTAGAATATACAAAGAACTACAAAAAAAAAAAACAAAAAAAAAACCAACTCAGTTAAAAAATGGGCAGAGGAGCTGGCAAGATGCCTTAGCAGGTAAAGGCCCTTGCTACCAAGTCTGAGGACCTGAGTTCAATCCCTAGGCCCCACATGGTAGAAGGAGAAAACCAACTCATTCAAGTTGTCCTCTGTCCTCCATACATATGTATGGCACAGCTGTGCCCCGGGGCACCCCCATACACACACTCACACATACAATAAATAAATGTAACAAACCCAGGCTTCATGCATATCAGTGAAGCACTCTACCAACCAACTGAGCTACATCCCAACCCAAGACAAGAAACATTTTTTTCTGAGTACCAATTGTATGCAATATTCTAGAAGGTAAATCCTTTAAAAAGGGATCACCTCTACTATCATTTAGTTGAGAGCACATCCCAGAGAAACCCTTAGGTCATTTGCATCAAAATATTCTGGAACTTAAATGCCTTCTTTTTCTTGGTTCTAAGTTTCACAAATTTATATGCACTCTGTTTATGAGTCATAAGCTACCAAACTAAAGCACTTGACTTCATATCATAGTCAAGTCTCATATCATAGTCTCCAGCACCATGCTAGGCAATTAGTAGATCTTCCGTAAAAAGGCAAATGTGGCAGGTATTTACTAAGCCAAGATTTTGAATCCTCTGGCAAGGACTAAATGCTGTGATCAGGGCTCTGTCCCAATCTTGCTAAATGAGTTAATAAGCATTGATCTTTGCTCTCATCACCACCCCCTACTCACTCAAGGCTTAGGGCAGAACCACCATCTGCCAAGTATGGTGGTGCACACCATGTAATCCCAGTACTAGAGAGGCAAAAGCAGGAGGATGGAGAGTTTGATACCAGGCTGGAATACATATTGAAACTCTGTCTCAAAAAACAGAGGGTTGGGGCTGGAGAGATGGTTCAGTGGTTAAGAGCACTGGCTCCTCTTGCTGAGGGCCCTGGTTCAGTTCCCAGCACCCACATGGCAGCTAACAATCATCTGTAACTCCAGTTCTAGGAGGTCCGACACCCTCTTCTGACTTCTGGGAGGGGTGCATGAGTGTCTGTCTGTCCTGCATGACACGGGTGCACTTACATACATGGAGGCAATATACTCATAAACATAAAATTAAAAAATAACAAAAAACAAAGTACTGAGATGTAACTCAGAGTATTTCATCCCTATCACCCCCTTTAAAAAGTATGTTTCTGCTCTTCTGATCTGTCTGTGTTGGGCAAAATCTATCACACCAGGTAGCTCCCAGGAGAAAGAAGAGGAAAAAAAAGTCTTTAACTTTTTAACTGACAATCCTCAGCTGGGCCTCTCACTTGAAGTAAAGGTTAGTAAAACCTCCCTTTGCAAAGCCCAGTGTTGGGTACTGTGCAAGCACAAAGGTGAACCAAACAGGTTCTCCGCCTCAAGAATTTACAATAGACAGACCAGACTAAACCTCAGCCTCTGTAAAACACAAAGTAGAATGGGCCAAGTTTTGCAGTGTTGGCAGACAGAAAGCACTATGGGAGAACAGATGGGCAGAGATTAAATCCAATGCTGAATATTCAGAGGATGCAGCTTTGGGACTATATGCCTTAGAGGATGGATATAAAAACAAAAGGTAACAGAGTATTCCCTATCTGCCCAGTGCTGTACTTGGTGATGTGCATGCATCTTCTGGGAAGCACTCCTAGACTCTTTTTACATGAGGAAATGGCAGCTAGCAGAGAGTAAGCATTTGTGGGGGTGGCTGGAGTTGAACCTCTTCAGGTACTGTAACGCTGGGACTCTTAGGCCTCAATTAAGGAGCAAGGATACCATGAGGGAAGCCCTAACAACTCACGCCACACGTCCAGGGAACAGCGAAGTATCCGTGAAGTTCTGTTTATGTTTAATACTCTCATCTCTAAGGGCAACTTAGAATTTATCAACTCCAGAATTTCCTGTATTTCATGGGACTTCCCCCAAATCCCTATTTGATGTGCTATTATCCTCATTTCACAGGCAAAGGAACTGAAACACAAATTAGGAAACTCATGCAAGATTACAAAACTGGCTGGTGATGGGGGTGGATCTGAATCAGGTTCTTGAGTCTATTCTCACCCTCTGTGCCAATCAATGACTCTCACATGGCTTCCACATAGGCTTGGTGTCTCAAAGCAGTCCAGTTATTTTCCCCGTAGTTTACATACCCTGTTTCCTCCCACTCAGCTCTTCCCACTTCCTCCACTTTTACCCCAGTTTTTCAGTTAGAATGACCCAGCTCAAGATTACAGTGCGGCTAGGAGGCCTGTGGACGGCCCAAAGCACGTCTATTCCCAGAATGCTTTGAGGCCCCTTGCATAAATTACCTTAGAGCCCAGTGGCCCCGCCCCTCTAGCCCCGCCCAGGGTCGCAAGCCTAGACGGGCGTGGGTGTGTCCCTGGAGAGGTGCCTGCTCGGGGCGGGGCTTGGTGGGGGCGGGGGC